CCCCCCCGGCCCACCAGAACTATAAGTCTCAATTTTTAAATCCTGGCTACGAATATTTAAAATTACATCCTGAACTTCTGGCAAAATTACGACGCTGGCAGTGGAAGTATGTACCCTTCCTTTACTTTCGGTCCGAGGAACCCTTTGAACTCGGTGAACTCCTGCTTCGTTCTTTAACCAATTAAACACATTTTCTCCTTTTATGAGAAAAGAGACAAACTTAAAATTACCTTCTTTGTCAACATCGGTTTCCACCATTTCTACTTTTCAATCCCTTTCTTTGGCAAAACCCTCATACATTTGATAAAGGTCACGGGCAAAAAGACCGGCTTCAGTGCCTCCTGTGCCGGGACGAATTTCGATAACAATATTTTGCTCGGTTCCTTCCTCGGTAATTATTTGCTCTTTAATTTTATCAATTAACTGTTCTTTTTGTTCAATTAAATTTTTAATTTCTTTCAGCAGAAAATCTCGCTCCCCTTTATTTGCTTCTTGGCTTAATTCTTGATAGTCTTTTTGTTCCTGGTCTAACCTTTCATACTCCTTTTTGCTGGCTAACAAGAGATTTTTTTTTTTGCTGCTTATCGGAGAAAAAATTCCATCTTTTTCTAATTTTTTTAAATAACTAATAATTTTTTGGGCTAATTCTTCACTCACAGAATAGATGTTTATAATATAATTTTTTTAGGATAATTATGATTTTAATCAATAAAAACTTCTTATAGTAATAAAACGCTAGTAAATATTATGGATAAAATTGAATTGACGCAGGAGCAGAGAGATTGTGTAGAACATCCGCTTAACGATCGAATTTTGATAATTGATGCTGATCCCGGCACCGGCAAAACCGAGATTTTAAGGCACCGTGTTAAATTTATTCACCAGGAAAACAAAAAACAAAGAAAATTCATTTTAGTAATAGCGGTGGGAAAAAATATTAGCCTATCCATAAAGCGAAAATTAAAAGAAGTTGAACTAAAAAAAATACATAATATTTTAAGATCAGTCGTACACGAATTTTCTCATAGAATTCCCCCATGTGATGACACCGATTGTCCTAAATGCCAAGAACACAATCAACCCATAATTTTGACTTGTACAATTCATTCAATAGCCTACTGAATAAACAGGCAAATGTTTGCCAAAATATTTCAAGAAAAACGAAAAATTTGGCCCTTAACTAATGCTTACAAAA